AATGAGTTTCGGATGTGCATATTTGGGCAGACCACACTGTTGTTTGGCAAGTTCCACGTCAACACAGTTAAGACGTCGGAAACAGTTTGGTTATTAACGATCACCCTGCCCTGGCAACTCAGAGCCCAGGCATCTGCGGTGGCAAGAGGATCCATGGGAATGCTCCTCTGGTCATCACTGGGTACATTTACATGACCAGGACAAATTTGATAACTAGAATAATCAGATAACACTATATTTAAATCAGATTTTGGTGTGAAACTCAACTATGTAACTTATCTGGTAGAGGGTCCACTACCTGCTGGTTTCTTTCAAGAATCTTCTGCGGTATGGCATTTAACATCATATGCTTACTTACATTTATTAAATTACAGCTGTTTTATTGATCAAAAATATCTGGAAAAACATGCAGGCTTACTGTGAACAGGCTTGAATCTCCACAGTTTTGATCTACAATTTGGCCTGGTGGTGGTACCTGCTTGTATTCATGGAGAAAGTACAGTTTAAAGGCATACTTTGGAACATTCTAATGGACATGGAGTCAAGCTGTTGGCAGACCCTCTCCCAAAAGTAATGCACATTTAAAGATTGAGTTATTTTAAAATTTCATTGTACTTTGTCTCTTACATTTTGTCTTTATTATCTATTTATTTCCTTGTCAAAACTTGTACAGGTGTGAATGATCATAAAAAAAAAAATCAGACTACTCACATCAGATATAAGTTCACAAGACATTTTAATAATTGTATAACTTCATAAATCAGATAACAATCAGATTTTCAGTTTACGTGTAAGTATAACCCGTGTGGTCGAAGTGGAGTTGTTCTGGCAGTGCGTTGTGGAAGTACACGGGGGGACAGGCATTAGCGACCGGGACGGCCTGGCTGGCGTGGCTGGGGATTGTGCAATACTATTTGCAAACAACACTTGCGCTGGTGTTATTTTTACCCCCCGTGACGTGGAGAGGAGAGGGGAGCTGCAGAAACAGTGCTCTAAAATTAGGCAGAGGTCTAAACCATTCAAAATGTGCTACCGGGTGCTACCTCAGCGACTGGCCACCCTTCTGTCCGGGACACAAGAGCTGCTGCAAAATAACAGCTGTGTGCACGTCGCCGGATAGGGCTATAGGCCTGGGACATGGGGACTTAAGGCTTCCGGATGATTTATGATAATGTCCCAGCTATAGGCACGCACACCTCTCACAATGCAAAACAACAGGACAATGATAGTAAATGACACATTGTTGTTATTGCTGAGTGAACTGGAGTTTCGTTATTGACCACAAACTGTCAGTAAATGAATCGTGTAATCTGTTTTTCCACTTGCTGACATAGAAAAACTTCATGCATTCCAAGGTGCATTGTGTAACTTTTATGATGGAGGGTCTGTCAAATGCTTTTCTCCATTGAGATGTTATTCTTTTGTCTGGAATGTTTCACAGTATGGCATTAAACCTTTTTATCTTCATATAGACCAACCAAGTTACAGGTCCTGTCTGTGGAGAGGTGACCCCCTCACACTCTGCGGAACATAAATGGGCGTTTCTTCCCTAAACCGGAACGCCTCCTTTTCTTCTTCTCGTTCCACAAGTAACTGTCATCATCCAGTCTAACATATATGTCAAAGTAAGAGCTGTACTTTGACATTAGCATCATGTCTATGATTGAACCGAGTAGTAAAAGCAGGAACTTCAAGTTTAAATGCTAAGCCGCCACCGAACGTCACGTAGTAAAACATTGGATTGTGCAGTGCATTGTTTTACTTCTCAAAATAGCTTATGTCCGTAAGTGTCATTTATTTGTACAGTGTGAGCAGTTCTAGCATCATGTTAAATGTACATAAACAGAATGATGTTAGAATGTGATCAGACCCTCTCCGGTACATACTGTGACAATGAAAGCAACCAAAAGCGTCTGCTAAGTACATAAACATAAACCCCAGCTGTAGAACTACGGCTATGCGGCCTATCAATAGCTAATGTCAAGGCTCATGCTGTGCTATCGTTAACTAACTTGTTAACTTGTTGGTTTCATTGTCAGCGCACATACCCGAGAGGGTCTGATCACATTCTAACCTCATTCTGTGTATGTATATTTAACATGACCCTGGAATTGCTCAAACTGTACAAATAAATGATAGTTATGGACAGAACCTCTTGTTAAACACACGTGTTGCCACTTTGCTTTGACCATAGGCAGTTTAGACCTTTGCCAAGAAGAAATAAAAAAGTGGAAGAGTGCAAAACTCTTTTTGATTGGTTGATTACACGCTACAGGAATGCCCAAGCTGCAGACTGACCCTCCTCGTTTTTCTAGGTGTGTTTTGCTATAAAACTACTTGTAATTCAATAAATGTAGGGTAGAGCTGTTTAATGTCATAGTGTGGAACATTCTAGGCAGAGAAATTACATCTCCACGAAGAAAAGCATTTGACAGACCCTCCACCAGAAAAGTTACATAGTGCACCTTTAACTTAAATTGTACAGAAACGCCAAGCTGAGTTAAAGGTGCGCTGCGTAACGTTTCTAGTGGACCCTCTTCGACCTCTTTGTTTCCATGGAGATGTAATTGCTTTGTCCGGAATGTTCTACAGTATGGCATTAACCTTATCTAGCTTGCATTTACTCATCTTTACTTAACAGTTGTTTTTGCTGCTTAGAAACGCCTTGATTAGAACGCAGATCTGACCTACAACTTGAACTGGAGATGAAGCTTAATGCCGCGCTGTGGAACATTCCAGACAAAACAGTAACATAAGATCAGCCTTTACTGTCTCCAAATGACATCCACCTGAAAAGTTGTAAACATATGATATCATTTTTAACCATACCAAGGGTTTTCCAGTTTGCTGTCATTAGATATTAGGCGGCCTGCGTGTTGACACCAAACTTTTGTAGCTTATTTGTCGAAACTATTTTAAATGTTAGAATATGAGCCACAATATTTCACCGCCGTCTGGTTTCATAGGAATTCAAATGGGCCCATTGACTTTACCACTGTTTTATTTAAGCCACTAGTCGGCCCATTATTTTCAAAGTGTCAATGTCGAGGAATGTCTTTTGGAATTCCATCGTGTTATTGTGGTCTGAGCAGTTAAAAATTATGATTGTCAAGTTGGCAGTCGACTATACAGCCCGTATTGTTTCTGACAATATTGACTTGGGTTAGTATTGGTATAACGATAATACATCTTAGACATTTATTTAAGATTCTAATAGCGGTTCTGTCAACTTTGTCTTTATCTTGGAAGCATTGAAACACACAGTTAGTGGTTACTATGCTAAAACTTTAAGGTATTGCACACTTGTTGCATGTGATTTAACAATGAAGTCTAACTTAGTGACGTACTGAATGCATATTGTTAAAAGCACTATATCTTATTTATATATCTGAAATGTGGAAAACAAATCTTTTTAAATTGTTAGCTTTGGACCAAATTTATTCCTCACTTATCTAATGCAATCTGAGCAAATAGCATGCTAAAGCGTATTTCCTGCTTATCTGACAGTAAAATGCGTTTTTAATTTGATGCAGCAGACATACTGTATTTTATTATGCAATATATCTACTGAGGTAAGACAAATTTTGCTCAAATACATGGGAGAAAAATCAATTATGGCCCTTTTAATTTCATAATTCAAGTCAAATCATTTAAAACATATAATCCATTAGTTAAAGGTGCATTGTGTAACTTTTCTGGTCGAGGGTCCATCAAATGCTTTTCTCTTGCTTCATTTGAAATGCTTCACAGTACGGTATTAATCTTTCTATCTCCATGGAGACCAAACCAGACCAAGTTACAGGTCAGATCTGTGGAGAGGCAACTCCACTCACAGTAGAATGTCTGGTTCTCGAGGTATTCTTGCATAATTGTAATTTAATAAATGCAATGTAGAGCTGTTTAATGTCCTACTGTGGGACATTTCAGGCAAAGGAATGACATATCCATAGAAAAAAGCAGCGGACAGACTCCCAACGAAAAAGTTACACAGTGCACCTTTAAGTGTTCATAAGTAAGGAAGTAAGTTTTTATTTATATAGCGCTTTTCACAGACATATGTCACAAAGACGCTTTACAGAGCATTATTCATTCACTCCATACCCGGTGATGGTAAACCCTTCCAATCCCCACCATCACTCACACACACATCACTTTCTATACTAGGCAATGTGGGTGAAGTGCTTTGCCTAAGGACACAACAACAGTTTTTGCAACTGGCGCCCCACTGTGGCACCAGATTTTCCCAGCAGTCTCCCATTCAAGTACTAACCAGGCCCAGCTTTGCTTAGCTTCTGAGATCTGACGGGATCAAGCTTTGACAAGCCGGTATGGGCAGCGCTGGCAGGCCGAGCTGGTGTATTCGTAAATAGTGAAACATAAACCACGATGAGAGCAATTCACATATATTTAACAGCTCCTAATTAACCATCAAAAATGAACTAACTCATGTCTCTAATTTGTCTATGTAATGTCTTTTAACGCTGTTCTCGTTTGTTCATATTGTGACAACATCGTACGTTGCCATTGCATTATTTGAGTGCATTTAGTCTCCGTATGTTTGTGTAATTTGGCCTTCCCGCTCCGCCAGCTGCTTGATTGTCCCCTGTAATGAGAAGCACTAGACAATAGACTACAGCTTCTCCCGGGAGTTCCGCCTCCCTATTGGCCGGGCCCTCTGCACCCCCGCCCCCTTTTCACCCAAACCCCGCCCACTCCCCCCTTCTCTCTCTCTCTCTCCTCCACTCCTCCTCCGCCTCCCTCCTCCCTATACCTCCTTACCACCTACCTTCCTCTTGCTTGTTTTCAGCCCAACTTGCATGCGAGCCAAAACACACCCCGAGCCCAGTTCAGAAGGAGCAGCGAGGACCCCCGTTAGCCTTAACATTTAGCCCATAGACGAGCTAGAAGACGCTACGCCTGGCTGTAGCTAATGCTCTTCTCCTAGCTGTGGGAACCTTCCTGTGGATCTATCAATGACTTCTTTGTTTGGTTTGTTGCAGAGTGCCCCTTCATTCACCCCCCTGGACACATCCTCCGATCTGCCATAGTAAGTGATTTTTTTTTTTTTTTTTTAACAACAATTTCCAGACTGTACCCCACATGTTTAGCTTCCCGCCTGCAGCTATGGACCCCCTATTTCCTGAGGAGCTTGTGTTAATATTGGAATAGCCAGCTGCACAATGTGTCCCATGTTTCTAGGCGTTTTTATGTTGTTTTTAAGGGGGTGGGTAGCAGGAGAGAGACTGTGTGCGAATGTTATTTGGTCTTGTTATTTAAAGCAGTAACCTGGCTGTCACAGGGGCATGTGGGGATGACTGACAATAGCACAGCGCCTGCAAAACTGTTATCTGCTTTGAATGGGGAGACAGGATACAGGAGCAGGACTAAACCGGGACTTGACAGGGACTAAACCTGGACCGGGACTATCAGATGTTAAACAGACATAAACGGGACTATAACTATTACAAGCAGAATAAGCCAGGGTTTGTTCTAAGCCAAATGTTAAGATGAACTATAGAAGACCAAACCAGGACTAAAGAGGGACTAAAGAGGACTAAACCAGGACTAGACCAGGTGTAAGCAATGAATACATAGGTCTAATCTATACTACAATGAATAAGCAGACTAAAAAGAACTAAACCAGGTCTTCATGGGATCTAACCAGGACTAGACCAGGATCAATCAGGACCAAACCTGTGTTGGATCAGGACTAGGACTTAAACAGGGTCAAATCATGTCTAAAAGTCTTTGAATTCTAAGAACTACGTACCTGTGCAGATGATGAAAATATGACAATATTGATAAGAATGCTGCAAAAAGAGCTGAGTAAAAATGGAAATTGGAAAAAAAAAAACATCTTATTTGAAAAAATTTGTAATAATAGCTTTATTTCTGCATTTTTGTGTGTAATTTTATATAATTTCACATTTGATTGATGCTAAAACCTCAACTAACTGTAACAAAAAAATACATAATCATTTTTGTCAATATTGTCCACCTCAATTTCAAATAAGTAGGGACAAAATTAAACCAGGACTATTTGAGGACTAAAGACTTTATTCTAAACCAGGTCTGCACTGTTTCTTTGAATCTAGCCACAGATATCTCATATATGCAGCCTCACTAATACAAGAATAGGATGTAGTGGTCCATGCTTAGTCCTGTAGCGCCTTTGATCTTGTTGTTTGGGCTGACGAGATTTGCTTCCTCTATTTTTGTTTGTGTAATAAAATGTGAGGAATTTAGGAGCGAGCCCCGGTGCCCGTTGTAATCCTGAGCCAGAGAAAACAATCCTTTGACTTCATTCTTCAAGTTTCCATTTGCTACTAGCATTATGTCACACAGACCCAAAGATCACCCCAACTTCAACCTATAGTAGTGGAAAAAGTTGGCAGGCGGGGAAAGAAATGGTCATAAAAGTGAGTAGGAGTAGGAGTAGTCAGTTATAGTAGTCATCGTTGTTTTAGGCTGTTTATATGATGACTGTCTGAGCAGAAGAAGCAAAAGTGACGTCGTGTCTTCAGTTTTTATCCCACGTTTTAGAGTGTTTTTGGGAAGAAATCTGCATGCATACAGTGACGCAAAAATGTGTGGAATTTGATTGAGCAGCTATGTGGTGACACTAGGTGGTGATGTATGTGACGTAACCGCATACACGACGTGAGCAGATCTGACCAGAGTTTTGCGTCTTGGGCAGTGCATACGGAAATGCTATGGCAGAGCGTATTCAACTTTTTCCACTGCTGGAGAGTGGTTTCAGACTTTGGCGTTTTTAAGCCCCAAAAACGCCGTCACTGTCTAAACGAAAGCCATGTCCGATAAAATATTTTGACGTTTTTGCCCACAAGCGTTCTCGTGTCCTTCTCCAACTTCAATATAGCCAATACCAGGACTAATCACTAGACAAACCAGGTCTAAAACAGGACTAACCCTGGACTAACCCAGGATTAAATCAGGACTAAACCAAATACACACCACCAAAGCATTTTGTACAGCTGAGATGAATAAGCATTTACCCCCTAAATACAGTAGGTAACACATTAGCTTAAGTCAAATCTGGGCACTATCTTTAACCTAAAATAGGACTAAACCAGGTTGAGTTTTTTACTAAACAGATTTTAATCAAATATACCAACATAAAGAATACGTAATCATACTTTTTAGCTTAATGATTACTAGATGATTTTACATTTTCCAATAGGTCTGGGCATTCAGTCTTTCCCATTGCTTCTTAGCCTCAGTGCCTTGGTGGAGGCCTTTATATGCTCCACATGCTCTTGATTACCCAGCTTTGTTCTTGCTATTTTGTTTATTTGTTTTCCTCTATGCCCTTTTCTTTTCTCACAGCTCTTTTAAGGAGAACCAAAACAGCCTTAAAGCTCCAGCCCTGTGGCATATTTGTGTTAATTTTAGAGGGAGAGGAGGTTTCTGATGAAGGAAGCTGATGGGCTGTTTTCAAAGGAAACCTCAAGTCATAAATGGACTTCCCTCAAAGACGCACATGTCAGAAGCAGGATGTCTTTCCCCTTTGGTTGTTTTTCTCTTTTTTTTTTCAAAATTTTCATTCATTTAAAGGCCCAGTACATCATTTTTAACATATTTAAGCAAAATCTGTCTTGCCCCAGTACAGATTTAATGTATAAGCAGCTCTTGTGATCAAAATAAGTCAGATGTACTGTCCACAACTAATTGGCAAACAGTTTATTGTCTGATAAATGAGGAAGTGTGTGTTAGCATGCTAGTTGTTGTGGCGAAACTCTTCTCTGGTTTCTTAAAGTTGTTAAAAACACTTACAAAGTTATTGCGGTGAATAATTAAGATGCATAATGTAAATGAGGAATAACTCTGGACTACTTCACACCATTTAAAGTGAGCTAGTTCTGTTTTATAAGTAAAAAAGCGCCTTTAAATGGATATAAAGTGATGGTGTTACATAAATCACCATGAATTAAAGGAGCAGAAATAAGTACAAACGTGTAACATTTGCCCCCTGTGCTGTGCCAAATGAGAGGCTTCAAGGGACAATATTTGACACCACAATCCAAAACAGATGTGGACTTATGGGAGCAGGGCGTCCCAGTAGCCACTTCCTCTCCCCTTATTATTATTATTATATGGAAATGTGAAGATAAAACAGCCACTAGAATAGACTATAATCGAATTTAAGCCTGGCAGATATTGGAAACACATGTTGTATGTTATAGTTGCCGGATTTTCAAAGTAATTCTCAAGCTTGGACAAAATCCCTTAAGGGTAACAAAGTTTGCACTTGGAAAATCGTGTTAATTTGAGATTTTGGCACCTAAAGATAAGATTGTGTTTGAATAATGTTGTTTTTACGTGAGTCTGGTGGACTTCCTTTTGGCACAATCAGGATGAAAAGCATGCAAGATAAAAGAAGCTATTTTGTACTAGCCCCAAGCCCTCATGAGCTTGAGTCAGCAATCTGTTTTGTTTACTGTAGTGTACGGTAATTCTGTGTACTTTTTAGTACCTATAATTAAACAAATGCAAGACGATCTAATGCCCTATAGTGGAACATTCCAGACAACGCAATAACAACTCCATGAGGACAAGCAGGTGACAAACCCTTCACCAGAAATGTTACATAATGCTGTATACTTGTGTGTAACTAGTACAATGATCTCATAATCTTGACTGTGACTGTGCCTAATTCCTTTGAAAATTCCATTCCAATTCCAAGTAAATTTTGTCATTTTTATGCAAACTACGTAATTTTCAACAAATACATAATTTTCAAAACAATAAAGGGAAACATGGTGATCTTAATATGTTATGTGTTAGCAGTTAATACCACACAGAAGTAAAATATCCCCTCTTTAAGTTGTGTGTAGTTGCTATGGTATCGTTGTATGTCACATTTTTCTTATGTAACTTCCCGCCTCTGGTTGTAAGTCCTGCTCAGTCCACTTTACACTGCTCATTGATTTCTTTGGCCACGCTTCTGTTTGTTCTTTAACTATAATTTCCCAGCCCTCCCTTCGCCGTCAGCAGTTCCCATCACTTTTTCCAGTCGTATGAATAAGCTCCTTGTTGAGGCTGAGATGGTCACAGTAATGGACCCGTAGCTCGTGAAACCTGGTACGCCCATGCGCTACTATAGTAAAACACATTTGCTTCCTGCTCTGTATGGGGTCAGGGGGTAGAAAAGTACTCAAGTAAGTGTGCGGTACTTCAAAATAAACATGATGAATAGTACAGGTTGAAAGTAGTAGGCAACTGAAGTCAAGTAAAAGTAGAGCTGGATATCATTAAGAAGTTGCCGATACAATACAGCGCACTTTCAATTCGATATATTTCAAATTGATTCAATATGGTTCAATAAAAAATAATAGCTAAATCATGGCTGTGATACTAAAAGTCTTTGTTAAACCACTTCTTGTGCAAAGTTTATATGAAACACACCCATTTTAATCATCATAACAGTGAAAATGTCAAATGTGTTGCATAAATGAGTTTCCTTCCACTGAACAAGCAAAAAAACTGTAGCGCTGTAACAAAATAATTTAGTAAAATTATACCATAAAACACTCTTGGCAATGTATCGATATAGCAGCCCACAATATTGATATTGTATCATCACATTAAACGAAATGGTATATTAATATTTCGATATTTTTTTACCCCTAAATAAAAGCATTTCATATTTTTCAGTGCAGCGTTCTGGGAGTAACATCAGATTTATGTTAGGCTAATGTAATCCATCAGACTATTTTCCAAGAAACAGAACATAAAAAGTGAAATTATGGTATATTTTTAACATAAAGCTTTTGTCACTTATAGACTTACGACCAGTGTGTTTTGCTTAAGGAACATGTTGTACTCAAGATGAATGATTAATCCTAGAATCATGGAAAAAATACTTGTTGAGGTAGCTCTTATTACACAATAAAGTAGAAACTATTAAAAAGTACAAAGAAAATATATAGGTATAAAAAATTATTAGACTTAATTAGATTAACCATACAAGTACACGTTGATTCTAAAGTACTGAAAATCTGATACTGACCAATTATTGAAACTTGATACTTATTATAAAGGATTAGTACAAAAAATTTGCCAGGCTGCCGCCACCTAGTGCCTCCACTCAATTTCATTTCTCTCCAGCAACTAGGTCAGGAATCTGAATACACTAGACGGTTTGTAAGGACCCCGGAAGTGCAAGTCTGGCCACCAGCCAATCAGCGAAGACCCATATATTTTACGTTGGCAACGACTCCCGAGATTGAGGATTTAAAGCCAGAACTAAGAGAATGTTTGGTGAATTTTATCAAGGAGAAAGATGTTATTGCCCTTCTTCCTACACGATTTGGGAGAAGCTTAATATACCAGTTAGCCCCATTAGTGGCGCATTACATACACCACGACCAAATAGCAGCAGTTCGTTAAATAAAAATGTACGCAGCTACCATCAAGAGAACAAATCCTAATGCTGTGAGGTCAGACAGTTTCCACGAAGTGAAACTGGCGGATGAATCAGACTAACAAAATATAACACAAATATTAAAAGGGCATTTGAAATTAAACAATGAAATATAATAGGGAAAAAATAGTGAAATATAATGCTTTGATTAGACAGTATCTTTGACGTAATTATCGCCAATTTACTGAAAAAGCCAGTCCAGTAAATGCTCCAAAGTACCGGTAGATATAACTCATCACTCGAGCCTCCCGTAGGTGGGGGGTAAACATAAGTGTAGCTGCTTGGTCCTGTTACACCGCCTCTGTCAGTTTAACAGTTGAGTTTATCCATAAAAATAGACGAACACATGAAAGAGGCGGCGGAGGGTACAGGTGCATGTCACTCCATGTGGGAATTCTCTCTCCTTATTTATAGTCCCTGTCTCACTGGCGTCCCAGGAATGCCCAGATATGTGCAGTAGCATTAGCCTTACCTCAGCCTCCAAAACTTTCACAATCTCGTGCTCCTCCTGTGTCGGATTATAGAGCCCATGCTGCAGGGAAAGTTGGCCCACACTGGTCTAATTTGGATCAGATGTTGGTGCTACTTAATTGGCTGTGCTTCCAGATTAATTGTAAGGAAGCAGGCTAAGAGAAAACACAGAGATTGTTGGGTTGAAAGTAAAAGTTCTGATTATGCATAGGTTTCTAAGAGATGAAAAATTGTGACAAATTATCGGCGTAAATTTCAAATTTCAAAACTAAATATCTAAAAAAAAAGTCCTCAAATTTTTGGGTTTCAGAATCAAAATTAGCTTTGTCATAACAATTAACAATTTGAAACTAAATATTAAATCTCTTGAATGGTAAAATGTCCTCAAAATCTTCTCTCTTTTGCTTTAAATATTAATATCAGTGTAAATACCATTTGAATCATGAACTAATTACTGAATAAGATGGATTGTTATTGTATGCAGAGCTATACATTTATTTTCTTGGCATTTTATATATGTTCTGTATTCATTAAGTTTCATAATAGACTTCTATGACTCACCATTGGTCTATTTATATTTCAGAGCCACTAATGTCACAGGGTCACTGAGCCTGACCTGTTGTTGTGCAATGAACGGAAGAAACCAGCCACAATGGGAATATTATTTTGCGCACTATTGCATTGGAAAAGAAGTCTTCATTTTTATGTTTCATTGTTTTGATTTAAGATATCTGATATTTATAACTTATTTTAAATACAAGATGAAGAGTGGTAGGTTCTCTAGAAGGTTCATAGATAAACCTCTCTTTTGGCACAATGGACAGTGATCAGAGGGGCAAAAGATATTTTCTGCCCACTATTAATTTTGTGAATAATCTTCTGAATTTTATGTGTAGGCTTCTCTTATTTGAGTCCAGTTTAGCCCTGATGTAGACTTGGTTTGGTCCTGCTCCATAGTTTTGGTCTAGTCCAGGATTATTTCCAGGTTTAGTCTCAGTTTAATCCCAATTTTGAGATGCTGTTCATCCTATAGTCCTGGTTTAGTTCTGGTCCAGCCCAAGATTATTTCCGGGTTTAGTCTAAGTTTAATCCCAGTCTTGATGTGCTGTTCATCCTATAGTCCTGGTTTAGTTCTGGTCTAGTCCAGAGTTAGTCCCAGGTTTAGTCCCACTTTAATTCCAGTTTTGATATTTGTTTGTGAATGTACTTTAGACTAAATTAGAACTAAACTAGGACTACAACAAAGACAAATTGAGTACTTGATGAGGACCAATACTCTTTAACAAGCTCCTTTAACAGGCTCCATATGACCTTCCATTATTCCATTGTTCTGCCCCTGTGCATTGTAAAGCATTAGCCTATAATGAAGTGTTTAATTATGTGTCTACGTTCCTGTGTCTAGTTCCTCCAGCAAATCCGGCCTGAGCGAGGTGGAGCAGGACCGCGGCTCGTCCCCCACGGAGCCGGGCGCCTCAGAATGCGACCGCCATGTTTACAAGAGCGTTTTGGAGGGGGGCGACATCCCGCTGCAGGGTCTCCGCGCCCTGAACAAGAGGCACCCCAGCTCCTCCTCCTCTAAAGGTACCAACCAGAACTCACCATATAAGTCTACTGGGTGTAATGTATGGAGGTGTGGTTCCCCAACTTTGTCCAGGCCCTCAAAATATGTAACGCAGGGTCATTTTGTCTTTAGGGTTGCCTAGTTTATTTGAAGAACAGCGGATTTTTAACTATTGTATATTTCCGGACCAGCTCCAAAGTATTTTTTTTACTTTTTATCATTACAATTATGTTCTTCATGCAGGCTTAAATCTTGATGAACACAGTGGTGCAGGTTCGTTTCAATGTATTTTAGGTCAGGAATCGGAATACACTAAACGGTTTGTGGGAACCCTGGAAGTTGTAGACTGCGCACCAGCCAATCAGTGAAGAGCTGAACCAAGCTGAATTGCGATAGCAGATTTCATACACGATCCTCCTTTAGACTTCCTTTGTAAAATACAAAGTTAGCATTTTTTATTGCACCTTTAATTTGCCATTTCATCTCGCAAAAACAATAATGATCGTTGACCGACATGTTCATTCTCTGCTTTGTTTGTTGTTGTGCCGGCAATTATTTGGACACCACTGAGCATTCCGGCACTTTACATACATCACAACCAAATAGCAGCGATTGGTTAAATAAAAAAGTACCCACCTACCATCGAGCGAATGAATCCTAATGCTGCGATGTCAGACAGTTTCCACAAAGTGAAACCGGTTGATGAGTCAGGCTACCAGCTAGTTACTCCTGACAATGAAACTAACACAAAATTTGGAGATGGGCCCTTACTGCTCCTAACAGGTTGTCCTCCTAACAAGGAAGGATGCCTTAAATGCAGAGGTAAAATTCCCCTAATGTTAGAATAAAGCATACCTAACCTTTTAGTGACAGTTCCTTACACCATATATTCAGTTTATGCATGCTATAAAATGCAAATGCTTTGTAAAGCCAACCACTGTAAAACACACTAGACTTCTACCACCTTTACTTCTGACTAAATGATTAAACAGCACATATAGTCTGAATTCAAGATCTATAATAATGTCTTTAATATGGCAATGCAAGTTATAAACCAACTAAAATGAGTTAAAACCAAGAAAAGACTCAAATGCAATCCAAATTTTCCAAATATAGACTATTCCTTCGCTAAATTGTGTCTAAAACCTGGACTGAAACATGACAACAGCTGGTTTAAACTAGGGCAAACCTTAAAAAGAATTTTAACCAAGACTGAATCAAAACAATACTTGAACTTAACTAACCTGTAATTTCTAGTTTTTCATTTTCAAAAACGTCAACCACTCCTTAGTACCACATGAAAGAGCCTGTATACCACCAAACTATATAGGATCCACATTTTAAAATGCCAATTTGAGACCCAACGTTTGTGTAGTTTGGTACTCTCAAAATCATTTTAATGCAAATTGTTTATTTTATTGAAAAATATTACACATATTTCTGTATTTAATTGTTCATTTTTGGACCTTGCACCTCAGTTTGGGAACCACCAGTGTGTATTTTGTTGAATGGAGGTTACAGAGTCCATGGTGCGTTGTCTTTCTGATGAGACCCAGACCCAGATACACATGTTTCCCTTTATCTTTATGTTCAAATCCATGTGTTTACTTTGCTCCCAGGCGTCACTGCATTGACCAATCACACTGCAGCATTCACCTCCCTAATGGGGCCATCACTGTTATAGGCATGTTCATGGATTCAGTGCAAGTAGCTCACTATATCACATGCTTAATACGAACTGCCTCTTTGTGCAAGCAGAGAAAGCAAATCTGTTATTTTGAAGTTTTGTGTACCATTATTGCAACTATAATAATGAGTTAATTTGGAAAAGAGCACAGTCGGTCTATCTGTATAGTAGGGATGTAACAATAAATGAAATATCGTGATATCTTGTCATCAAAGTTCTCACAATATCGTGGACTGTCACAATATATCGAATTACCAGTCTCTTTGCTTAAATTAAGGGTTATGGTGCAGCAATAGCTAAAAAAATACAAAGGGAACTACATAGACCACGATCCTTTGCTCCATTTCAGTGTAGACTACATGAAGAAATAACAGTTCTAAGCACTTTTAAGTCTTAGTTTTTTTGGATTACGTCTTGTCAAAATATTTTAAGAGGAAAAAGTCGTGATCTTTCCCACGATATCGCAATAAATATCGTACCGTGAGGTTCATACCGTGACGATATTGTATCGTGAGACTTGGATATTGTTACACGCCTACTATATAGCTTATTATGTTCCACGTACTTTTCTAAGCACGTTCACAAGAAAAACAAATAACTTAAAGGTGCAGGGGAGTCGCTACCAATTTGTCTCCATGGAGATGTTATTGCCCTGTCTAGAATGTTCCGCAGTATGGAAATCATCCAGCTTCTATTCACTCCATTACAGGTGTTTGTATTGCAGAATTGAAAAATACATTGAAAAAATGCATTCTTACTATGTTGCTTCCCTCCAATTGCTGGTTTCCTTGGACATAGACGTTAAATGTCGCACTATGGGACTTTTCAGGCAAAGTAACAACATCTCATGGACAAGCAGGTGGCGAACTCTCCACCAGAAAAGTTCTAGTGGACTTTTAAGACAGGCTGTGTAATATCAATAGGACATTTTTAGGACAAAATATTACAAATTGTAGTCACTAAATAAATTGTTTCAGAGCGCAGGAGGGAGCCCAGCTTGGTTTCATATCATAAACTTTTTAGGCACTTTCTCATTTCTTACCCAAATGTGTTGCTTGGGTACATGCATGTGTTGCATCATACTGTAAAACCACGGCTAAAGTGACAGAATTTTCTCATTAGTCACTTGTTTTTGTTGCTTAACCACACACTTTCGCAAAGAAAATCATGCACTTGATTTAACAACATCAAACTCTATACACTTTATCGCCCATACTTACATAACTAAACATATTTTTACCTTAATAAAACATGAACAAACACCTAATTAATAATGAACAAATTGTTTATTAAGAATGATTAATGCTTAAAACCACTTAATTAATACCTCTAACCTTAAGTCCTAAACCTAACCCTTTAAAGTAGTTACTAAGCCTGAATTATTCTTAATAAACTATTTGTGCATTATGAATTAAGTCTGTGATCATGGTTTATTAACATAATACAGGTCGCCACTTATCTACTATTTATATATAGTATTTCTGATTAGTGATTTAATGATGTATGTTATGCCACAACTTAGCTTAGTTTTAGAATAAAAAAGCTGTGTCTTTATATGTAAAATCTCATAGTATTGCTCCTTTGTAAAGAATACTGTATATTTTTTCATTTGAAGTATTTTCTACATATGAATCTGTATGAATTAGCTATAATGAATGCCTCTAACTCCTCAAGAACTAGCCAATTATTTTCATTACAATGGCTGAGCAGTCTAATAAATTTCCACATGGGCCATATTCGACCGATTTAATATTTTATTTGAATAGTTAATTGTTATGACTACGGTCTTAACTTTTCATCATTCTGAAGCCCGTCCATCTGCCGTTTGTTTTCATTGATCTGAATAGGGCTCCTCTGCTTTGGAAAACACATGGATGACTCTGGGTGGTCTCGTTAAGTCCGTGGAAGTTAACCTCTTCAAACTTCAATCGCTCCCGCCGACAGTATCCAGGCAGGCTCAGGGCGTTAGGCCAGGAGCGAGAGGGAGACGGGCAACGAGACGGGGAGGAACGGAGGGGTGAGAGAGATAGAGAGGGAGGGAGATATGGAGAGAAGGGATTGACAGAGAAGGAAAGGAGTGAGAGTGCAGAAAGCGAGATATAGTGCAAAGGAGAGAGAGAGGACGGGAAGGGAGGTCGTGAGAAGAAGAGAGATGGGAGAGAAAGAGAGTGAGAGAGAGGGGGTGTGGGAGGAAGAGAGATAAGAGAGAAAGAGAAGAGGGTAAGAGGAAGAGAGCGGGGAGAGCGAGGTGGTCAGAAGAAGAGAAATAAAAGAGAGAGGGAGGGTAAGAGGAAGAGAGATAGGAGAGAGACAGAGAGAAGGAGGGTGAGAGGAAGAGCGATAGGAGAGCGAGAGAGAGAAAGAAAGAGGGAGGGGGTGAGAGGAAGAGAGAGGAGAGATGGTCAGAAGAAGAGAAACAAGAGAGAGGGAGGGTAAGAGAAAGAGATAGGAAAGAGAGAAGAGGGTGAGAGGAAGAGAGATAGGAGAAAGAGAGAGAGAAAGAAAGAGGGAGGGAGGGAGGTGAGAGGAAGAGAGATAGGAGAGAGAGGGGTTCAGAAGAAGAGACATAGGAAAGGTCTTAAGGGAAAGAGGAGAGAGAGGGAGGGTGAGAGGAAGAGAGAAGGGGAGAGAGTGAAAAAGTGGGAGACAGATTGGTGGAAAGTGTGTGAGAGACGATAAATGAGAGAGCGAGCAAGAGAAGGTGGCAAAAAATAGAGAGGAGAAAGGGACATATAGTGAGAAAGAGGGAAGACAGAGAGAAAGCGTGGGTAAGGGAAAGAAAGAACGAGAAGAAGTGAGAAAGATAGAGAGAGGGAGAGAGAGGAGGGTGTCAGTAATGGGTGTAGATGGATCCAGAAAACACGAGATGTCCCCTCTTGGTGTGAGGAAAACAGGGGGACTTGTGGGGTGGGCAGAAATGAGAGAAATGAGGAAGTCAGCTGTTAGGAGAGATAGAGATTGAGCGAGGGAAGAGGAGAGTGGAGGGTAGAGAGAAAGAACGAAAGAGACAGGGAGAGAGAGAGAGAGAGAGAGAGAGGACACATGAGGCACGTCTGGTCCAAAATGACGTCAAAAAGCACGTCAATGAAAAGAGAAATAATTGCACAGAAATACAAAAGTGGTTTAGTCAGTGGTCTTTGAAACGTCAAAGCAGCAGGTTTATGAATTACGCATTTAAATGTCCGTGTCCATATACTTGAAAGATTCTACAGCATTGCAAATCTGAATCATCATTTTTGTTCATTTGAAACCAAAAGTTTTGTTTGATAGTTGATCGTACCGTAATATTTAGCGGTAGCTCATTCTGTCATATTAAACCGAGTTATGCCCCCA